GGGTCCGGAATGGTGAAAATGTGCGATTTTGATGCATTTTCGGCCTTAAAATGGCCGCTATTCGGCTATCGTTAATCGGATCATGAAAAAAATGCATGTGCATATGTCCCATATAATGTGTGATGTATGAGTGAAGTTTGAACTTAATCGGTCCATGCATGTTCGAGATACAGGTGATCACGGACGCACGCACGCACGCACGCACACAGGGCAAAACATAAGTCCCCGTTTTCGGACTACGTCCGAACGGGGTCTAATAAGTTCAGACTCACCAAAAACGGAGTGTCGTAACCCAATGCCAATAACCGCAGCCCAAGTGCATGTAATATATTAATCATTCCGGCAATTCCTGCAAATCTATCAAACGTGGCCGCTAAACTCTCGCCTCCGCTATTGATCATCATTTCAAAGTCAACAAGACGTACATTCTGTTGTGAATAATAATAATAATAATAATAATAATAATAATAATAATAATAATAATAATAATAATAATAATAATGCTTTTCGTATTAATTTTATTAGTAGCCCATAGATATTGTCACTAAACACGTCACGATAAGTATAAGACAGAGATTTATATTTGATTATAAGAATTACTAAATCAAGTAGGAATTTATTTTCACGTAGCACAAAAGCGGGGTATCAACTAGCTGGTGGTCATGCGCACCGCAAACAAACTTACGAGCCTGTAAGTTGTTATTCACCCCTTTGATCCCCATATTATTATTTTTTAGCCAAAAATAGATGAAGAAAATAAAAAAATGATGCTTATTTAGTCTGAAATTAATAAAGAATTTATAAGAAAATAAATAGAATTTCGCAAAATGTTGTACCAAATTCTGACAGGAAAGTAAAGATAGAACTACAAATTTCAACGTTACGTAATGTGTGTAAAATAAAGAGTGTATTACACTCTCATGCATGATCATCATGATAGAACGACTTTTTAAGAATTTTGCTTCACTCCTAGTAATCTGCCGTTTTTTTCCTCGCATGAATCAAACAGGAATAGGTCACGCGTTTAATTTGACGTGACTTGGCTAGCACAGACGAATGTTATCACTTGCATTCCTCTCACCTTCTCTATCATCGCATCAAGCATGGCCATGTTCTCTGCCTGCGCTTTGATTGTGTGTGAAAACAATCCGTAAGTCGAGTTCGGAACAATTTGGGCTCGGGTAGTTCCCTGTATACCGAGTACCAAGGATGCCTCATTGAGGTTGTCGTGCACTATTATGGCGCCGACGTCTCTGTACTCCTGCAAAAATATAAATATTGGGGTGGTGGTAAGCATATTTCATTTACATGTATAGCCCAGATATAACTGTAATTTTTGTATTTAAATTTGTTACATAATCAATATTAATAATAATAATAATAATAGTGGTGATTTATTTAGAAACTGTGAATATAAAATAGTGATATTAATATATTTTAAAAAGTGCTGGTTGTAACGGTTCGGTTTTCGGTGCTCGAACTGATGTTACCTGGTCACGAAACGCTCTGTGTACTGACGGTTGAACTAATACATCAACACCACGTGCAACCAGACGCTTCACTTGAACGGGGGCCAGGGGTGTTCTTCTTTCCCACACTGACCGTTCCTCTCTCTGGATACCAATCACCATTCTAATTCCCGGTTGTACATTTCCCATTACGTCACAGTCGAGTTAACTGTCAACAAAACAACAATGGGTGATCCACGGTGAGAGATCGGTGTCGTCATGCACGGTACATCAGTAATTGTGCATGGTTTCATAATCTGACTAGGATTCTTCGCGACATGCCATTACTTTAATAAATCATCCAATTACTTCAATAAGTCACTCAATAATACAGCGTGCATACAATTTACATACATTACAAATCCAGTTTATTCTCTTAACCATATGGTATGAAATTTTTCAAACAATAACACTCAATTCTCATCGGATTGTTAACAGATATAGGCAGCCTATTTTTATAGTTATTGAGGGTGTAACAAATGAACTTACGCTTTTCCTCGTCCCGGTCACGGTGTGAAGAACGCTGTGTTTGCACGTGAACTGTCTATGAATTCCTGGGACGTACGTCAATCGACCTGCACGTCAAATCGAATAGTTATTTACATGGTATGATACGATCATAAAGTGGGATTAGTATACTGTGTCATCCCACGCAGGTCGTACAGTTTACATATATTGTGTACATATTTTCATGTATATACGAAAATTCTCATCGGTCAAAATACTTGTTGATTTTCTCCTTTTGACCAGTGCCTTACTCAATCTCAATTGATGTTACTTATTCTCAACATCATTTATTTATTTGTTTCCTATTTTCCTTTCTGGTTCAGCAATTACAGATCTGGATGTTTTTACCATGTCTGCATTAAAACAATCCATCACCCGGCGGAAATTCTATTTCTCATTGCAATGAGAATATTTGTTTTTTCACCGTGCAATAAAGACGGCACGGATCGTTTTTATCGTCCCGTCCCATCCGATCGAACGCAATCTCAAACCTATTGCAGTGTTTGTGGTGATCTAGGTATGAGTGTTGGGCGAGGGTAGATCGAACCCAAAACGAATATATGATCGTTAATACCAATGTCATCGGCTATTTATTTAATTTAGTACTCGTGTGGGTACACAGACCCCAGTTTGAACTATGCTTTGTACCTTGATGTAATGGAGTACAGGGGCTTATTCCTCGAAGCGTCAATGCAGTAATTAACTTTGTTTTTATTGTAAATGTTCGTCGTTGGTGGCGTACTATCTTCTACATGTACATTATTGCAATACAGGTGATTGGTTAGTTGTGAAGTAAATAGCTGTCCATAGATATTTCATCACTTTATACTCAACAGATAATGCCCAAATCTTCCTGAAACAAATAGCCTGGTAATTACTAGTTAGGAAATATCTCGAACATGTGCTAACCTGATGTCAACTGAAAAAAAATGATCTCTATTCACTCTGACCATGGAAGGTACTAACGGATACCTTCCATGCTCTGATCGCCAATTTTATGCTTTATCACTTTTTTTTATTTTTCAATTTTGTCCAAAATGCTAACAAAACAAAACTAACAATTTTTTTTTTTAAATGTAATGGAAAGATTCAAAAAACAGCATGAAATGACAGCAATTCCTAAAAAGAGATAGAAATTCTAATGTCCAGCACTGACAACAGCCTTTACAGTCCACTGTGTCAGACACATAAGCAGAAGTTGATTTTGTTATACATTTTCATCCGCCATTTTGGACTTGGAATATGACCAAATTCTTGTATTTAAACAAACCTACTCGTTTCGGAGTTGACTTGGCTGATTTCTACTTAGTATGACGACATAGTGGACTACAGGTGCACATTGTTTCAAGATCAGACTGAAGATGGTCAACTGCCAGCCTTTCATTTTTCTCAGCACCTTTAGATCAACTTGACTGTCTCAAATCTATACGTTTAAGCTTAATCTCAGCATTATCAAATAAAATGTCAAGGCACTTAAATCATTGGCATGGTAACCATTATATCAATCTGTAGGTTTTTGTGTACATTTAGAATAAATAATACACTAACCATACAAGGGAAGGTAAAATCTTTATTCTTCACAAGACACATTCACAGTTTACAATACTGACGAGTAAATCAAAAGTTTGCAAAATGAAAAAAAAAAATAGAAGTAGAATGCCTTACACAAAGTATAATTCTTGTATATTAAAAAATTGCAATATTTACTGTAGTAAAATGTATTCTATATGGTTTATTTGAATGAAATGTACATTTGTTATTGGCCATGACGTTGACTAATTTGCATATAAATACCATACAATTCGTCTAGCCAATTGCAAAAATCTATGGCTAGGAAGGTTCACTAACACAGAGAAAACTCTAGCAACGTAAATGAATAAAATACAAAATTGAAAGAAAAACTTCAGAAAGAATAACATTTTTAAATTGAAGCATGTCATTCTAAATGTAATTTACTGTAGAAACATTTAATTTCACTGGCATTTAATTTACTATCTTACTATTTTAGTATTTTGAGCATATTCACTGGGTTTTAACGTTTACAAACTTGCCAGTGAAACAATAAGTTCTATTGTTAATTTACATGTTCTTGTGGATTTAAATTTAGGCCATTCTTACTTTCCAGCAAAAATAGCAAAATTAAAACCAACGAAATAATTAATGCATTTACAGTATTTGCAGTACATAATCCTTGTGAGTTATCAAGTTTAAGCAATGAAATTGAACAATTAGAGGAAACCATAGATACGACTCCAGAACTGCATTCATTAAAACAAAATGGCCACCAATCAGCCTTTTTGAATTCAATCTGAAAAATAAACCGACAAGCATCAGAGTATCAAACTATTCAAGTTTGAACAAAATCTCTCAATACACAACTAAGATATGGTTCTAAAATGGCAGAAATGCTTGATTTTACTGAATTTTCAACATTTAAAGAGCCTCTATTTGGCAATATTGTAACATAAGTGTGATATGATGAAAGACATGTATATAAAGTTGAAATATAATTTAACATAGCATTTCAAATGTATAAAAAGTTGTGTAACCATTATATGCTAGTTCATAGTAGTATATGAAGACAGTAATAATATCAAGTATGGAAGACAAATAAACACCCACTACTCCAACTACCGATATACAATAGCTTAGAATCTATAATACGCCAATCAATGCCTAGCTACAATGCCTGTGATATCTCATTGTGGTCAGCTGTAGACAGATTTGATTTGTTGAATGAAACAGTAGTCATATTATTCATATTATTATAGACGATTCCCTGTGTATTTCTCCTAATGTTAACAACATCCCTTAATATGTGATGTTTGCATAAATCTGAATAAGTAAGAAGATCTTAGCTTGTGAAGTGGCATATGGCAAGTGGTATTCTAGGCGAACTTTGGGTGTATACTGCGCGAATGAACATTAGTACAGAAGTTTTGGGGGCGTACTTCATTTATGAAGCAACTATATGTGATTTATGTATCTTGCATAAACTTCATGCAAAAACAGAGTGGATCAATAAACAAAAGTTTTATTATGCAGCAGAAGAGAAATAAAGAAAAATTCTGAAATTTAAATTATATCGTCAACAAAAAATATAAAAATACAGCAAAATCTAAATTTTCGTAACATAAGTTCTAAATGATATTAAATGGCAGCAAAACATAATAAATATCTTTCAGAATCAAAACAAACCTTGTATGCTTTAATCCCAAGACTACTGTAAAATACTTTATTTTAGCTAGAATTAATTTTCACTGCAAAAAACTTTTTGGGTATTTTGTAGGGAATTTATTTTCACTGATTTTTCGTGAGTTGAATATAAAATATAGGGAAGAAGGTATATTCACTGGATTTTATTTTCACTGAATCGTTCCTTCAGTGAAAATAGTGAAAACTAATTCCAAGCGAAAATAAAATATTCTTAAGAACAGATGTAATTAAGGTCATTAATTCAAAGTAAATGTAAAAAGGTGTACAAATAATTATGAAAATTATTATAGCAATCTTTATGACAAATACCAAATTTAATATACGACCCTTCACTCGATGTATGCAGCCTAGTCACAGGGTTTTAAAAGGAATCACATGTCTTCACTTCAATCCTCTATTACTCCATGTGAAGAATTTTTTTTTTTTGACATCACAAGTCAAACCTGTGTTCAATTTATTATATATTAAGATTATAAAATACACAATTTTGGCACATCCAAAATGTAAATAATACTGAAATGTCACTTTTTTTTCGGTATCTAAATACTGTAGAAGGGAAAATATTGATTGCGTTTATTTTTCGCAGATTTAATGCTTCCAGAGATATTCACTGGGTTTCAAATTAAATAGATTATAAAAGATGCAATATGAAAAAAAATACTAAATATTGATACGTAAACTGGAGGATGGTTTATCGTGAACTGAAACAAACACTGTTCTTGTAGCACATATCTGAATATTCATTTGATAAAAAATTGAAATGTACATTGGGTGCTTTGGTATGTGCAATAACAATCAATGCACATGTGTACCACTGCATTTGAGTTTTTATTTATCGAATAATGTTGCTTATGATACATTTTTAGTTTAAGATTTGGTCTACATCGTGGGGAGTATCAAATAACAATATTACAATTTTTTTGTCCATATTGCATATTGAAGAAAACTATACATTTTATTGTTAAATTTGAATTTTCAGCATTTTAATGCCTGCGAAATAAGCATAGATAAATGCCAGCGAAATACAAATAAGCAAAAATAAATCCCGGCAACTAAACAATCCCTATGGAGTATCACAAATTCTTTACACAAATCTAAAAACATAACTGGTCTACCATTATGCTATAAAAACTACAAGTATTTTACAAAAGAGGTACAAGTCTTATCAATTAAAATTATGGGATGTACCCGATAGCACTGATAAATACTGAATGTTGGTAATAAGCCATTTTCAAATTTCATGATATAACACAGTACAGTCCCGGCTTAACTTAAACCCCCAACTTGGCTCCTTTGGTTTTACCTTTTCAATTTTTTTTTCAAAATTAGAAACATTTTCAACAATAATTTTCAACTTGTAACCTATGAAATATTTACCTTGGTTACTAAGACAAGACATATTTTGGCAGATTACACAAGTATATGATTTTTGTAAAAGAAGATTTTCGCCAGATAAATATAGTATACAGTATTATTCAGTTTATCTGCCTTCAATTCTATCCTATAGTCTGATCATTGTACCTGTAGCTCTGCTCTCTCATCACTTGGTAGACGAAAATTCACTGATTCTTAATAGTTATTAATTCATCGTAAAACTGAATCTATTCATCATGATTGTACACAGACCATAAATACATTGGAATATTTAAAAACAAAAGTATTTCATGCGATTCTAACAGATTAATGGTGTCACAATGACAATATGTGTTAATGATTTTCAGTAAAAAACAAAATCTGGGTGAAGAGATTTGCAAAAAATATACGTGCAAGTTGCTTATTAATCTAATCACTATATTAAAATTGGGAAAAAGTATTCCTTCTTGATGATAAAATATATTTCATGTTTGACAGTATTTGTTGTATTATTTTAAGTGCATGGTGAATGTTGTCAGTGTTTTACATATTAGCGTTTGGGGTTAGTATACAACTAGGAGACAGATAACTGAAGGGCTTTTTAGCTTTACCAATACATGTACAGTGATAATGGAGATGCAAATTTACAAATTAACAAGTGTTAACAACATAGACCCCATCAATAGCCTGGTGTTTATATTGTCACTTTCAGTCACTACTGCTATTTGTTAGTAATTATTTTATTCATTAATAATAAACTAATGTGGTATATAATGTGCTGTAATTATTTTATTAATTTATAATCAACTAATGGGATATATAATCTGCTATACGGTAATTATTTTATTAATTAATAATCAAATAATTGGTTAGATAATCCACTGCTACCCTTTTACCTAAGAATTTGACCTCGTGTTACTTTGCGACTCACCGCACGCCAAGATCCCATAAAATAAATTAGATTTGTGCTCATGTTCTCAACCATACAGGGCAATCAGTGAGAAAGCAGCTGTCTTGGGAAGGTGTGGAGGGTAGTAGACGTGACTGGAAGTGACAAACAAACAGCCCTGTAAATTACTATCCAGAATAGAGGAAATATGGTAGTTTTCACAATGCACAATTACAAAGGGTCTTTTTTTGTAACATAGAATCACATAACAGTTTATAATACATATAAACATAAAACAGGGAAAAGTTAATCACATTGTCTTCTTCTATTCTTAACTACAAGATAAACTTTTTCCCCAATGTGATGCAGTCCAAACAAAGTACATTTACTGTGTCATAGTTCGATGTACGTCTAACTCAATCGGTATTTAGTAGTGTCCTGCTGATGACTTCTATTATTGCAATTTAACTCCAGATAGGGTATAGATAAACAACTGTTGGATGTAATGATTTACGATGATTCAAACTAGAAATGATTTCGGCACTCAATAGTACAGTCATGTGAATTACATACATTTACATAGTAACCCTATTTAACTTGTGTTTTGGCTTTAATGCAGGAGGGTTGTCACCTGCGCACGAGCGTGAATTGAGTCCCAAGCGACAATAACACGAGCTAAAACAAAAGACTCATGGGTAAATGCTTGTTTGTAAACAATGACACGCTATAGCCATCTGACGCATGCACAGGTGATGACTCCCTCGCTTTAAGATATTGTAAACCATTTTCCAGTTAGGGATTCAATAAAGTTTGTCATGACTGTAAGACCTCACTAAAAATAGAACAAACATAATCATAAAATGTGGTTCAGCATGAAACAGATCAAACGTGCACAGACATTAACGACAAATTCAACCCTAATTGCGTTTGTCTGTTCGTTCAATATGAACTCCTAGATGAATAATTAATTATACTATGAATAGTGAAAGCTTAGTGACATTATTTGTGAGCAATGATATTGTGAAATGAGCTAGTAGTGGAAATGTAACGTCTTGTTATTTACATAAGCAAGTGCAAACCGAGCATGTGCGATAATGGCATGTATCAAATACTGGAGACAATGTCACTCTGAATTCAGTTTTTTCCTCATTACAAACAATAATAACATGTATTCATATGATGACCCTATTTGAGTCTATGAATCAGGAGTATTCAGGAAGCAGGTCTTAAATTGAGTCAGAAAACTTGTATATGTGGTACAGTGTGTGTATCATCTAGTAGGAATGCTTACAGAATGTTCATATAGGAACATACAAACATGAGCTCACCAATTTTCAACATCTTCTAGGAATTCTTTACTCTCGTACATTTCAGCCATGTATTTATATCGCTGCATGAATAAATTTTTAGCATATGCATACAACTCTATGTCTAATTTGTTACAGTTGCGGATTTTATTTCGATCATTCACGTCTATATCCACGTTATTACTCAGCGTCTCATCATATTGTTCAAATGGTTGCTCAAATTTCAGTTTAAAAGTCCTTTCGAACAGATACTGGCTCTTTTTCTGCAATTCAGTTAGACCGAAAAAAGCCATTCGTCGCAAGTTTGTCTTAGCACTTTCCAGCATTTTGTTATCCCGTTCTTCTTCTGACATCGCTGACTTGTTGTAGCACCCAACGAGCTCCAAGTCGGCCAACATGCGAGTCTGCCTGTTACTTGCCAGATTGTATGGACATGCAAGAAACTCTTGAAGGGTTACATCTCTCCAGTCTTCCCCGCTGTAGCATAATGGCAGTTCCTCTGATGTTGGAGTTCGCCCATCACACATGTGCACCGCCGTCTTCCAGGTAGCACCCCGCTGTACGTGTCGCCACTCACTGATATATCGCAACACAGGGTCCCGCAACATAGTAATAAGATAATAGCTGCTGAGATAAAGGTAAAAAACAAAGATATGTTCAATTTCAAGAGGGGTTGCTATTGTGAAACTAACATGTGCAAGTTAAAAAAATTGTTGAGCCTGCTTGAGTGTTGTTGGGAATAAAATTAGGACCAAATGGATATCACAAAAAACACACACACAAAATGGACATGCATACTAAGACTCAAGACTTAATATAATAAATGCAGGCAACTTTGAGAACCAAAAAATAAATATCGCTATAAATTTTTGGCATCTTGAACAATATTTACAATCACCAACAGACTTAAAGACCATTGCACTTGTTAACACAGTGACTGGTTGGCAAAAACCTTTCGTTTGCATTCAAAGATAAAAAAAAAAAAAAAAACAATGAAAAAAAATGTTTATGAATCAATTTGCAGACATTGTCACAACAGATCATACACTGTAGAATGAGATTCAATGTCAACTTGTATACATGTACCTGATTGTTAATAATGACGAATTCAGGTGGGAGGGATGTTGGTCAGACACCAACACACACGCCTAGAACCATGTATTATGCAAAAACCATTTGTTTAAAATGTGTTCGTTCTGGATTCCAGCATTCACAATCAAAGAAAGCTTAGAAAGAACTCCTGTGTGCTGAGAGTTTTGGAGACACATTAAAAATTAATTCAAAATTACTTATACTTGAGATATTGATGGAATAGCTGAAAACTAATTATGCAAATAAGGTAACTAATATGAACAGATTTAAGTGTAAAACTAATAAGGTCTGCACAATGTACCAAGTTTCATTGAAATGTGATTAGAACCAAAAAAATATTAGTTATTATGCTAATTAGAGAATTAATATGAACAGATTTTAACCCAAAATTAATCAGGCTGTCTATTGTCCTAGAGCATTTATGGACCAAGTTTTATT